AAGTAGACCGAGAGACTGCTTCCTTATTTTAAATAGGTTAAAAGGTGCTTTGATTTGCTCAAAGAACTTATAAAAACTTCAGAAAAAAAAATCTGCTATTGGAGATGATCCTCCTAAATAGAGATTTCTTGTATCGGGATAGAAATTGTGTTTTTCAGCCCATCAGGCATGCTTATTCTGCCTCTGTGTGAGCTGGATGCTGAAATGCACATGAAATGTGGCTAGAACAAACATAAAACCTACCATTAAACTAAATCGTGTTAACATCCAGTTCAGGAACTGACTTCCTATGTTGGGTGTGCTTTGGAGCAAGCAAATATTATGTCTGTGTGTGGATTTCTAACAAGCAGCCAGGGTAGAATGCGAATAGAAAAGAATATCTGTAGCTCAGGGTTGAACTGGGGAGCCCTTGGTGCTCTCTGAGCTTGGTTGTTTGCTTGTGGGCATTTCATTACCCAACTAGGTAACATCATCAGTGCAAAGTTGGGTAATGAAACCGCTGCAAGCAAACAACCAAGTTCAGAGAGCACTAAGAACTCCACAGGTTAGGATGAAGGATGGCTAATATGCCAAGTTGGAGGAATGGAAAGAAAAGTTGCAACATGTAATTAGTGCTTAGCTTCTTAAATCCCTAAATGGTTTCATCTTCGTGTATTGAAGGAACAGCTCCATCTGTACAGCCTGTCCCTGTATTTAGACCATCAGAAGAGGACCCTCTCCATATTGCTTCTAGAAAGTAGCTCCATTATCACATATAAGGTACAAGGCCATCCCTGTGGTTGCCCCATAAATTGGGAATATCCTCCAAAAGGAGGTCTCCTTGGGGCCATGATTGTAAACTTTCCACTGCTGGATTAAGGTCTGCATTTGCACTGGGTTTTCTAGTGTTAATTCTAAATGTGTAACTTGAGTTGATTGAAATCAGTATAAAACAATCCAAACTATCAATTTGACCAAACTTTAGTTTAGAGATTATATGATTTGGGCTCATATGCTTTTTTCTAAAATAAAGCAGCACCATAGGAAATGCTAATATAAGGGCTTGGACTTTGTTTCACTTCAGGACACTTATTTTTTCGCTCAACCCACCTCTTTCCCAGATAGCCTAGTTCTGTTCTTTTGCTAATATAATTTGGAAAAGTATTATGTTAGCCCTTCGAGGTCGTGCAGACAAGAACCACAACAATGAACACCAGCTCTATCTTTATTGTAAGGTTACATTAAAAGATCTTAATATGAAAGAGAAAGTACTGGTTCTCATGAATTGTTGCTTTGGGAGGTGGGAGCAGCTGAGACCTGGGTGGGTGTCAACTACTCAGAAAATTCTTCCCTGGTTGACTGTATCCAAAAACATCTGCCTGTCTTCTTTCTCCTAGGCCCTTATTTCAACCCACGCTCCCGTCAGCGGATACCTCGTGACCTCGCCATGTGCGTCACTCCCAGCGGCCAGTTCTACTGCTCCATGTGCAACGCCGGGGCCAGCGAGGAGGTGGAGTTCCGGCAGCATTTGGAAAGCAAGCAGCACAAGAGCAAAGTCTCTGAACAGCGGTATAAGAATGAGATGGAGAACCTCGGCTACGTCCAATGAGACTTGATGCCTGAGAGCCTCTCTTTTTTGACTTTCCCTCTGTAGGGAGCAGCTTCTGCTTGCTTGCCTGCCATGTGCCCTGCATCTGTGCTCTGTGCCTTAGGAGGCCTGCTCCCCAAGCTCTCTCCACGCTTCTAAAAACTTGCAAACCTAACAGTGAAGTAAACGAATTTAAGCAAAAGACAAACAAAACGGTGTCACTCCCAGTTGGCAGGAATACATGCTACAGGATATTGGGTGTTGATGGGTTTGGTCCATTAGCTGCCTTCGGAGGAGAGTCTGCCCCCTTTCCCTGGTCCCCTGCCCTCCCCCTTGCATGAGTGAGCTTTGCTTGAGAAGGTAGCACAGGGTTCATCTCCTCTCTTCTTTGCTCTGCATTGTGCCACTTTTCCATATGGCAGCTTGGTGAAACAAATGGCAGAAGTTCAGTGTAAGGGCTTACAAGTCTGGAGAAATGCCAGCGCTCTGTCATGGAGCACACATTGCACCTACGAATGCCCCCCTCCCCCTCTCCCCCCAGTTAAGTCCTGCAGTCTCCAGTTGTACAATGATTTGGAAGGGCAGAGACAGGAAAGACCTCTGTTGCTAGTCAGAATTATAAGAGCTGAGTGAAATGAACCAGTGGGACTGAGCTGTTATAAAAAAGTGAGCAGTGCATAGGGAAAAATGTAGCATACCGACAGACCGCCTGAGTAAATCTTGGGAAGATAGTCTTGGACTCTAAAATTCTTCTAGCAGCAGTATCTTTTTTTTTTTTTTTTTTGGCTCACCCAGAAGCCAGGAAAAAGAAGTGTTGCTTTAATAAATAGCAAAGAGATGCTGTGCCCATGTGAGGTCTGAAGCACCTCTTCCAAATCATTCTCAAGACATACACAGGCTTCAATTCAATAGCATCTGGTTCCTCTACATACTCAGGTTGCTGTAGCTTCCTGCAAAGTTGGTGGGAATCATTTATTATTATTTTTTGAGCAGTTCCAATGCTGTGTTTAAAACCAAAATCAAGCATGCCTGGTACAGTACATTCGAATGAATGAGAGAATTTCCTTTCCTGAATTTGGGGCTTTGCTCTTGGGAGCACATAATTCCAAGATCTGTTGGAATTCCCTCTAAGATGATACTTACTTGCGTACTTTGAGTGAAATACGAATGGCTGTTCTCAAATTATTTTGTAATATCTGGTGTCTTTTCCCTTCCTCATACTTTCTCTCATCGCTAGATTTTTTTAATGCTTTCCATTTTTGGCAAAAAAATAAAAAAAAATCTAACCCAGGCATTTTTAATCTGAAAAAAAATCTCAAAACAATTTCTTTTCATTTGTACTGTATTGTTTCAGTTAGATCTAGAGATGGAGGAGAGAAGCCCCCAAATTTCCAGAATCCTGCTTTCTGAAGCAACAGCTTCCTGTAAAGCATATCCTAGACAAATGGATAGGCACCGGGCATGATGTACATGCTGTGTTGGTGAACTTCTAGCCCAAATCAGATGAAACTGTTCTCATTGGAAGTATCTGTTCTTGTCTGGAGGTCTGGCCCTGGTAGATGGCCACCACCTTCTATCTTGGGCATGCTTGCAAGTATCATATTTCCTTGCAATCCCAACTGCTAAAGGAATTGGTGTCCTCTGTTTTATGTGCTGTCATGGTTGGATGCTTGTTAGGTGACAACAGTGCAGCATTCCACCACAACACCAATGTGATATAAACCCCTCTTTTTGTTTTTAACTTTTCATTTGTAATCTTCTAAGTTTTAAGCTTTGGGAATGTTCCTTTTCCCGTTCTCCTAGCCTCAGTCTTTAGAGGTAGGGGCTAAAGCTCTCCCCTCCAACCCTGTGCTTTCCAGATGTGTTGGACTTCAATTCCCATAATTTCACAACCACGTAGGGGAGTCATAAACTCAGCACATCTGAAGGCATTCACAAGGGTTTAATCCTTTGCTAAATTTAATCCTATTGTTATATTATAGCTTTCCTTTACAAATGGGAGAAAAGACTAGATTTGAAGATAAAGAACATCTCCACACAAAGATGTAAAAAACTGAGATACTCACTAAAGACAGCAGTGGAGATGGAGGAGCACTTGATCATTATTTGTCCTAGAACTTGGCTGATACTTTCAATGAGAACAGTACCTATCTACTCAAAAATACAAGTGGATTATGAAGGGCACATTAGCTCTTGAAGGTAAAGGATTGGTATCTTTTTGGCATAACTCTTCATGTTTGGAACTTTGTAGACCTGGATGAATGATTATAGACCCTAGGAAGTGATAATTGGAAAGGGGGAACAGAGGAAATGAAATATTTATCAAGTTGTCTCACTGGCCAGTAGATTGATTTTTTGTACGTGTGCTGCTACTAATCTGTATATTTTTGTATTTATTTTGATCATGCTGACCATTAATAAGCTCACAACTATTTAAGGTGTTATCTGATGGGTTTTATTTTTTTGTTTGCTTTGTTAACTTTGAAAACATCCATATCATTACCTTTTAAAAAGTTATTTATTATGTTTCTACAAATGTGTTTTTTCTTTTGACCTTTCCATGTATATGCTTTGTTCTTAAATGATCCCCACAGGGTACATGGAAGTTCAGTCATTGGAACTGAATTGCCAAACAAATAGTACGTGATAACATCAATCTTTGATTGATTATGACTGATGCCACTTAGGATCTGCAGCTTTGTCTCTGTAGAAAATTGGAGCATAATCTTTATTGCAACATTGCCATTTTCTCATGGGTCTATCTGACCTGGCTCATACATCACACTAAGCCATGATTTATTAGTAACCCACAGCTGGGTTCATATATCACACTAAGCCAAAAACTATGGTTTACAGACCAAAACAGCTTGTCTAATGGTAGCAGTGGGTAATTTTTTTGGAGGATAGTTATATTTTAAATAAAGGGTCAGATTGTTAGGACCTAATCTTGAGTTAAAATTTCCACCTAAGATGACCAGTGTTTCTGTATACAGTGGAACCTCGGGTTACGAACTTAATCTGTTCCGTGACTCTGGTCGCAACCCGAATTGGTCGCAACCTGAAGCAAATTACTTTCTTTGGAGCCATGCTGACAAGCACACCAAAAACCTTCCAAAACGCCACAAAACACACCACAAGCCTCACCAAACGTCGCCTTGCTACCGCGATCTCGCCCACAGGAAGCCGCGACCACGTGGCAGCAGGGAAAATGGCCGTGGATCCAGTTTGTAACCCGAGGCGGAGTTCGCAAACCGAGGTAAATTTTTGCGGGCGGAGCTGGTCGTAACCCGAAAAGTTCATTAACAGAGGCGTTCGTAACCCGAGGTGGAGTGTGCAAACCGAGGTAAATTTTTGCGGGCGGAGCTGGTCGTAACCCGAAAAGTTCATTAACAGAGGCGTTCGTAACCCGAGGTGGAGTGTGCAAACCGAG